TCTTATCTCCCCACCTAGGGATGGGCAACGGATATGGCGGGCAGATAACCACGATTATTTACCCAAAACCGTTTAAGCTTTTACCCACATAACCGTTTACCTAGTAGATATTTACATAAACGGGTATACCCATACCCATAACCATTTATAAACGGTTAATCATACCCATAACCGCGTACCCAATTACTTTTTTTTTCCTACCCGTTACCTATTTTTTTTAACAACTTGAAAATTAAAAAGAAATTTGTCATAATTTTCTTTTTTCTAACTATTAAATACCGTTATAAGTACATTTAACATGTATTTTTTATATTAACGGTAATATTATTTATGACTATATGCGATGTCTCCCAATTATTTGATGGTCAATCTATTACAAGAATCATACATGGTTGTAGGTTAATTAATATTCTTGTATACATACATACATACATACATACATACATATATACATATATATATATATGTAAGTACGCATTAGTCTGCTAATAGACTAATTTGATAATTATTTGGATTTTTATTTAGAAACATATGTTCATCGATCCAAGCCATTTAATCAATTTCTAATTTTATGGTCAAATATTTATTGAAAACTCGAGGTCAATTAAATGTGTATATATATATATATAGATAGGTACGCATCATCTAATAATAACATATTTCTAAATGCTTAAGGTAATCATTATCTTGAATTGGTCAACTCCAAAAGACTCCAAAACAAAACTGTCGAACACTAATGCTTTAACACATTCAATCACATAAATTAAACATTAGCCCGTTTTATCAACTATATTTTTCTCTTAAGTGAGGCATATATATTATATGGCCCTTTTGACATTATTTGTCTTATGTAAGTAATTGCTCAAGAGGCTTTTGTCATTGATTGTGTTAGCTTCGGGGGTTTTTAACATTACCAAGATGGAGTACTACATCTTACTGTTAGAATCATGTAAAATTATTTATTCCACCATGATAGGTAGTTTAGCTTTACAAGTACTTATATGCACTAGTACAAAAATCTATTTGCATGACAGAAATTTGCGCGACGCACAGGAGAGATCCATAGCAAATTACTTATTCCCCTGTTTGTAGTCGTTGGATCAAATTTCAAGGGCCTGTATTGATTGATTGGGTGGATTTGGTGGAAGGGATCCGGAGAGGATCTCTTTCCATAAAATTGGACCTATTTCAAGTTAGTTTATATACACATAACAAATTTGTAAGGAAGAAGTTAATTTAAACCACATATTAATGAAACTCTTTTTGTCAACTATAAGAGGGTGAAAAAACATTTTTGTCTTTTATCACAAAATAAAATTATGGACAATAAAGTAATATGCACAAACTAAATTTTATAGTTGTTTTTAAAAGTATCATCTACATGTAATCCTACAAATCACCTACAAGAACTCCGGATTTTACGGGTGTATTGTTTTATGAAACTTTGAATTTCTATGGCACTTATTTTCAAAACTTCAAGTTCGAGTTTAAGTACGAACTCTAGGTTCATGATACCTGCAAACAAACACAATATACATATGTAGTGAACGGGAATAGTTTCGGGACCTATGTGTGAAAAGAATGAGTGACGTCCCAAAATATGGGGCTGTCGTGGCTTGCAGGCCCAAAAGAGTGGTTGTTGGGTTGCTGGGCAACAAAGGAGAAGTAAATGGTTTAACATATTATATAACCAATTATTGGGCTAAGAAGGAAAAGTGAAAAACAAGGCCTAACCCATGGGTTTGTTATTTCATGTGAGCCAAAAATAAAACAAGGCCCAAAAGAAAACAAAACAAGTGGGACGGTTTGGTGCATATGCCCAATTGGGTTGCGGGTCGACTGCAGGTAGCCCAGGTCTGTAAGAAAGGTGAGGCAAAACGGCTTTGTTTTAGACCTTAGAGTTTTGGAGCAGGAACAACTTGGTGGCTCGAGTAGCGCGGCTTCAGGCTGCAACTCCCATGCATGTAGAGTTTGAAAAATCCCATTTTTTTTTTCTTCTCTTATTCAAGCATATTCAATTCACCACAATTATAAAAACAATAAATTTAAGCTAAATCTATAATTTGTAAAAAAAAAAAAAAAAAAAACGTAAAATTAGAGTTCATGCTTCATGGTGAATGTTTCATGCAATCATTGTTGAAAAATCTCGAAATTGAAACAATGTTTTATAGATTACTTGGATTTCTTGATGAATATTGTGAACGGCTTTGTAGTAAACAAGCATTCAGTTCCTTAGCTCAGTGTTAGGAACGTGTTTAACAATGCGTTGTGACCCAAATTTAACTGAAGGAGAGAGAGAGGGGGGTGCAACTGCATAAAGAGACAAGAAAGGCTTGGGAATTACTGTGATGATATTTCTCCATACCTTGTGCCTTTTTTAAGAAAAATAATGGGGTTACTTGCCCTACAAGTAATACAAAGTTGTGCCTTTTTGTTTTTTGTAATTAATTCTTGAATTGTTTCTCACTAACATTAGTAGTTGTTGAGACTATATATACTCAAGTAATGATTTATGTTGTGAAATTGGTGTGAATGCCCACATAAAGAAAACAACCACATATGGCTAAGGGTGGAAAGTGGAAGAATAGAAGTCAAAATTATATTGCTTAAATAGTAGAAGTTTGGTTTTTATTGTTTTGGTGTGTAAGCCTTTTATATGCAATAAAAGAGATGTATACTTGTATCGTATAGGTAGTACAAAAAGACGAAAAGCAGAAAGTAATAATCATGTTTTCCTCATTTGTCTCTCTCTACGTTTATTTCTCTTATCTGATACTAGTGAAGAAAATAAACAGAACAATACATGACTCCTGTTTCACTTCAATCTCTAACAACTCTGATAATATATATAGGTACGCATCATCTGATAATAACATGTTTCTAAATGCTCAAGGTAATCATTATCTTGAATTGGTTAAAGCTCCAAAAGACTCCAAAACAAAACTGTCGAACACTCTAATATTTTAGCACATTGAATCACATATATTAAACATTAGTCCGTTCGATCAACTATATTTTTCTCTCAAGTGACACACATATATATATATATATATATATATATATATATATATGGCCCTTTATAACCAAATATATCTCGGGATACTAAACCTAGTTAGAAAATAATTTTTTTTTTTAGTTTTACATATATTAAAATAAACAGTTAAATGTGTACCCGTTTATAACCGCAGATAATAACCATAACCGCCCATTTAAATTTCACGGGTAACCTTTTATTTATCTAAACGGTTACCCATAACCGTAACTGTCAAATTTAAATGGGCGGATAACTGTAGTTACCCATAACCAATAGGTATTTGCCTATCCCTATCCCCACCCACATCATAATCCCACCCACCACAAAAAAAAGTTAAAAATTAAAATGTTATTTTTCCACCCATTATTTTTTCAAAAATAACCTCTAATATATATTTAAATTCTTTAGAAGAATAGATATTAGAGTGCTCATAAACCCAGCTAAGCCTTCACTAATCGCCAGGATCTTTCTTTCCGATTTTTATTCTAATCAAAATTCCAAAAATATGATTGAAATGAGGGATAAGCAAACTCATTCTCTATTGAAGTCCTTTCCTTCGCCCTCCCTTACATCTTACTCCAGAAACTACACTGATCCCTGCCCACAACCACCTCTCCTTCTCCTCTTCTCTGTCAGTCTCCCTTGTCTACTCTTTGACCACCCCCATGTCAAATAACACAAAATACAGACACAAAAAAAAAAAAAAAAAAGCAACAACCTTAAGAAGCTCATGAAATCAAATCCAAACAACCTAAATAGCTAAATCAAATCATTAATAAATCACCCATGTATGCACATAGAAACCCAGTCTCCCCCATATGATGACACCTAAACCTACAACGAATACGCAGCCACACAATTCGTTCTTACGATAACAAACACCAAATGCAATTTCGTTTTGACAGACCCAAAATATCCACTCCTTCATCTGCATCTACACCACTCAAAAAAATCCCACACCATAATCAAATGCACTGTACCAAACCAAAAATTAAAACCTACCTCAAAGGTTTTGTTGGTTAAATGTGAAAATTTGCAACTTTTATTACAAAACAGTGACATTGATTTAAGAGCCACTGTGACTAATAATTAAAAATCGATTACCAAAATAAAATCAGAAATAATTCATAACAATACAAATTTGAGGCGAGAGAGGATGCAGAGATAAGACAATGAGTAAAATAGATACAGTCATTCTTTTTTTTTTTTTTTTTTTCTTTCCATTGGTCTTTATATGTCATTTTATACGACGATAAAATTAGTACTTAACTTTTTATTAAAGGCGGGCGAGGAAATAAGATTTTGAGGTGAATTTGTTAGCACTCGGATTATATTGGATGAAATTGGAGGAGAGGCCCAAACAACAATTTGAGCCTAACTAACAACGAGAAAAGGAGTATCCAACCAAGTCTAAGCCCAACTCCAAGTAAAACCTGTCAAACAGTTAATACGAGGATAATTATCTCCCTTCTTATGCTTATCCTCTTTCTCTCCCTTCTCTTACATATTGTATTTTGTATTATTGTGTTTATAAAAAAATTAATATAAAATATTGATGTGTTAAACCGTAATCATTCAAATAAAAGAGGAGAGGGAAGGAAGAAAAGAAAAATTAGGAGGGAGAGAATCCTCCTCCCCGTGAATATAGTTTCTGCATCTGCTTCTCATTTGTGAACTCAAGATCTCAGAATCTGTGTGTTTTTGGAAATGCAATGCACCATGGAAGGCCCTTTCTGGTCAAAGACCACCACCACGACGGCGCCTCCCAGCTGGGAGACATACTGGCCACCATCACCAAGCCCTCTCAACCTCCGGCACCCGCAACCTCCCGGACCCCCACACCCTTCCGCTCTCCGAGCCCATCCTCTTCCAAATCCTCCGCGCCCAGTCCCTCCACCCCTTCCAAAAAACTCGACTTTTTCAAATGGTGCTCTCTCACGCATAACATCAAACACTCGGCGCGCACCTACTCCCACATCCTCCGCACCGCCTCCCGCTCGGGATTCCTCCACGAGGTCCCTCAATTGCTTCACTCCATGAAGGAGGACGGCGTCGTGGTCGATTCCCAGACCTTCAAAGCCCTGCTCGACGCGTTTATCCGGTCCGGTAAGTTCGATTACGCGCTTGAAATTTTGGATATTATGGAAGATGTTGGTGCTGGGTTGAACACCGATATGTATAACTCGGTTCTTGTTGCTCTGGTTAGGAAAAACCGGGTGGGTTTGCCCATGGCCATTTTGTTTAAGCTTCTGGAGGGGGGGATTCGACCCAGGTGCCTGCAATGAGTTGCTGGTTGCTCTTAGAAAATCTGAAGTGAGGGTTGAGTTTAAGCAAGTTTTTAATAAGCTTAGAGAGAGCGAGGGGTTTGAGATGGGTACTTGGTGGTATAATATTTACATTCATGCATTTGGGTGTTGGGGTGATTTGGGTAGTCTGAGTCTGTTCAGAGGGATGAAGACTCTAACTTGGATTATGTCGGGCCGGATTTGTCTACATATAATAGCCTCGTTCATGGGCTCTGGTTTGTGGGGAAGGTGAATGATGCAATTACTGTGTGGGAGGAATTGAAGAGCTCCGGCCATGAGCCGGACGCAATTACCTATAGAATTCTCTTATTCAGGGGTGTTGTAAGAGTTATCGAATAGACGATGCCACAAAGATTGTTAGTGAAATGCAGCTTAATGGATATATCCTGGATACCATTGTTTATAACTTTCTACTAGATGGGTTATTCAAGGCTAGGAAGGTTGATGGCTACCAGTTATTTGAGAAAATGGTTCAGAATGGGGTGAGAGTCTTGAGGTGGCCGTATAATATTCTCATGGATGGTTTGTTCAGGAATGGAAGGGCAGAGGCTGCGTACACACTATTTTGTGACTTAAAGAAGAAGGGTCAGTTTGTTGATGGTGTAACATATAGCATTGTGGTTTTGCAACTTTGTAAGGACAGTCTGCTTGAGGAAGCACTAGGATTGGTGGAAGAAATGGAAAGGAGAGGCTTTACTGTTAATTTAATTACTGTATTGTCACTTGTGATTGGGCTGTATAAAGAAGGTTGGTGGGATTGGACGGACAAGCTCATGAAGCACATTAGAGATGGTAACCTAGTGCCGAGTGTTCTTAAATGGAAGGTTGATATGGAGGCTTCACTGAAAAATCTGCAGAGAAATAGAAGGGATATTACACCATTGTTCCCAATTAAAGGCGACTTGAGCGAGATTACGAGTTTAATAAAGTCTGCTGAATCAACAATGGATGCAGACCTAGATTCAGAGGCTGCCAGGGTTAAAGAAGATGATAAGAATTTGTCCACCGATACTGATCAGTGGTCATCATCTCCACATATGGATCAATTGGCTAATCAACTTAAGTCTACCAACCACTCCTCACAGCTGTTTTCATTGTCCAGGGGGCAAAGAGTTCAAGCGAATGGGGAAAGCACTTTTGATATTGACATGGTTAATACCTTTTTGTCCTTATTCTTGGCCAAGGGAAAGCTGAGAATAGCATGCAAATTGTTTGAGATTTTCAGTGATCTTGGTGCAAACCCCATGAGTTATACTTATAATTCTATGATGAGTTCGTTCGTCAAGAAGGGCTACTTCAATGAGGCATGGGGTGTACTCAATGAAATGGGAGAAAAGTTCTGCCCCACCGACATGGCTACATACAATGTGATAATTCAAGGCTTGGGGAAGTTGGGTAGAGCGGATCTAGGGAGTTCTGTCCTGGATAAGCTAATTAAGCAGGGTGGTTATCTTGACGTGGTTATGTACAACACCTTGATTAATGCACTAGGGAAGGCTAGCAGGATTGCTGAAGTAAACAAGCTCTTTGAGCAGATGAAGAGTAGTGGAATAAATCCTGATGTTGTCACTGTTAATACACTTATTGAAGTTCATAGCAAAGCAGGTCGGCTAAAAGATGCATATAAGTTTTTGAAAATGATACTCGATGCAGGCTGCACCCCGAACCATGTTACTGACACAACTTTAGATTTTCTTGGCAAGGAGATTGAGAAAATGAGGTACCAGAAGGCATCCATGGTGCGCAATAAGGATGACTGGCCTTGAAAAGAATTTGTACACTTCAATTCAACTGTAGTTCAACCTGCTGTGACTTTCGGCTCATAAATGTTAATGAAAATTTGAAGGCCAAAAGTGTAGTCGTGTGTTGAGGTGTGTTTTCGACCTATAATCATGTCATGCTCCGCTTTGGTCATGTTAAATGTTAAAATTGCTAGAGGTGAAACTTCAGGTCAGTACCTACTAAACGGTTAGAATGTAATGTAACTAGAATATTTGTTTTTCTTCCAAAACTCTGAAATATAATTGAGCTTTGTTAAGCAAGAAGGTAGTTTATTTGATTCTGGTAGTGATTTATGCAAGAATTTGAATGATCATGTTACTACTGTGTATTAGTTTTCTTCTTTTATGTTGATGCATCCTGCTTTCACTATTTCCATTAAGAAGAGCGTTCCTTGGATTCTCACTTCGTTTCCTTCTCAGTTTTCTAACCCAACCCAATTAAAACTACAATGCTTCTTATCTATAGCCTTGTCATAAACTATCTAAATAACTAGAAGTCTCTCAATAAAATGAATTATAGCTAAGAATCCTTCAAAGATGTTTCTTGCCTCATTCTCGCTTTCGATTCTACCTTTTATTAAAAAAAAAAATTTTAAATGAAACATGAAGAAAAAGCAGACATATTTTCAACTGAAATTGTAAGAACTTTCCGTATAATAGCAGAACTATGTTGCAGACTGGAAACTTAAATTTGTACACAAAAACTGCAAACTTCTTTGGATACTATTTTCAGCAGATTCGGCTTTTCTCCTAATCTTACCTAACCTTTTAATCTCAACCATTTATGTACGTCCTATGGTTACTTCATAGTAGTTTATAAATTATTTTCCTCTAAAAAGCAATTATTTGGGGTGACAAACTCTGAAATTAAGAAAGGAGAAGAGGTAAAACCGGGCATGGTGCAGCCATTGGAACTCTAAACGATGATGCTATTAAAGTTCTCCATATGATAGTTAGGTTTCTTCAATCCGGATTCATTCTGTTTTTGCTTACACTCGGAAGATGGAAAAATTGTAGTAATTGGAATCCAAAAGCAAAACGAATTTGGCATAGGGTGAATTCAAGCTTGTACTCCTTGCATTATATGTTATCAGAATCTGGGACACATATCAGATTCTCATGTAAGATTTCGATAATTTTGTCTCTTATTGATTTCCTTTTAGAAAGGAAAACTTGTATGTTCTAGAGCAAACCCATTTGGTCTTGACTCCTGCAAGGTCTTATCTATGAAATATCAGAGCATCAGGATTAGATTCAAAGGATAGGGGAAACCATGATACAGAAGGCTTACTTTTGTTCTTTTTCCTTGTAGGTTAGAACTCATACAAGGAGTGAGCCGAGAGTTCTTTACGATGGCCTCCATTTTTGTAAAAAATCAAACTCATGCCTCGAGTTCACAAAATTTGGAGAGCTTTCTCTCTCGCATTGCTCTCTAGGTAAACCTGACAGAAATTCTATGGAAACATCATGCCTGCAAACGAAGTAGCAGGCCCACACACAAGCAAACTCCATCTGAAAGCCGAAGAATTCAAAGGGTAAATCCCTTTGAATTCTTCGATTATGAACATCCATCTTTTTCCTCCTCATCTTCTTCTTCTGCTGCTGCTTTGACCAGTAGCGATACTTCAGGCAGTGCTGCCGCTGCCACCATGACGTTTGAGCGTTTTTTCGAAATTCGTAAAATTGGTTTCGATCACTGGGCTATCTATTTTGTTATCACTTTTCTGTTTCTCAAATTTTTTCCTCTCTTGCTTTCCACTTCGTGCTCTGTCACTCAAATGTTTTTCACAACATCTTCTTTCTTTTACCTTTCGTTCTCTGTCTTGCAGATGAGTCTCCCAGATATGAGATTTTTACTTTTGCTTTATTTTTTTATTATATTTATAGAAGATTTTTTTTTTAGTGAGTTTTTCTATTTCAGTTTTGGTTTATTGTGTTCTGGCTGTTGAAGAATGTAAATTTGGATTTGCAAATGGGTGACAGAAATTTGGACCCTGATTTCTCTTCGACGATTGCAATCAAGGTGAACTATAATTCTAGAGTTTCAGAGGTACTGCCGTTGTTTTTTGATATGTGTTTTTAGATTTTTGCTTTGTTTTTTGTTTTTTGTTTTTAATCTTTAATTGAGAAATTCAGATTTGTGTGTTTCAAAATTTCTGGTAAAAATTTAGGGTTAAGGAAATTTTAGAGAGGTGGATCACATTGTAGGATATGAAGTTCATGTAATTGGTATTTAGGGGTGGAATAAATTGCAGATGCTCCTTTTGTTTAACTTTTGGTTTTTATGTAATTTTCGTTTACCGCTTAATTTGAGGAAAGAGAACATGCAATTTTTTATATTTCTTGATAATGTGTATCTGGGTGATGATGAAATATGCAATTAATTTATTTGCTAATTGGTTCGTTTAGGTGCGCATGAAGCAAAGCTCTAAATTAAAGATGTTAGAATTGAACCCCAAAAAAAAAAAAAATAAATAAATAAAGTTAGAAGTAGTTCCAAGCTCTTTAAAGATTTCAAATGCTATATGATGTCTGCTTCTTTGGCTGAATTGTTGTTGTTCTTATATACTTGGCACATAGATTGTATGCTTATTGCCTATTGATTTGTTAATTTTGATAATGCTGAGTTGTTGCATTCTGTGGTCATTTCAGGAAGTGTGGTAGAATGCAACAATTGAGCATTATCAAATTTATGATCTGACAAATGGTTTTTGCAGTAGGTGTACTTATCATGCTTGGCGACCAGGTTTAGAGTGCCCCTTTTCTTTTATTTTGCTCTTCCTTTCTTTCTTTCCTTTTGCTTCGGAGAGGAGAAAACTAACCTTTTGTTTTTGGTTATGTGGGGAAATAGATATAAGGGTTGGAAAATGAATCTATTAGCATTTCCCCAATTGCTTTTATTTTGTAATTTTTGGGGGGTTGTGTGCTCAGATGCTGTCTGATTTCAGTCTTTTTGGCTTTCAGGAAAAGGAAACGTTGGTGTTCGGATTTTTGCAGCTGCATGTCAAGATGCAAGCGAAGGCTATGCAGGTGTGTTCCTGTTAATTGCAATTTCATTACATTCAATGTCCAGATATTCTTAATTCCAACAATTGATTTCATGTAACAACGCCATTTTCCATTGATTAATGCTCATGATCTGCAAACCCCATTGCCCCTGTATCTTAAAGTTTTTCTCTTTCTTC